TTCCTCACTTCAAATCCCTGCTAAAAACACATCTGTTCTCGCAGGCATTTCACACAGTGTAAATTGATTTAGTGTTTTTTTGTTCTGTGATCCTATGTTTTAAATGCTTTTTTATTCATTCTTCAGTTATTATTATTAGTGTATTGTATTTTTTTCTCATTAATTTTACTCCCATTGATGTTGTTGTTGTTAAACACTACTTTGATAGCAGGTTCTATTTCAAATGTGCTCTATAAATAAAGTTGACTTGACTGATGAAGCTTGAGAAGTACTGCAAAGAAGAATGGGACAAACTGCCTAAAGACAGGTGTGCTCAGCTTGAAGCATCATATTCAAAAAGACTGGAAGCTGTGATTGCTGCTAAAGATGGATCAACAAAGTATATATCTGTGACAAAGTTAGACTCAAAGCAGTCTGCTCCTCGGATAAATATTCTTAACATGTTTTTTATATACATGAATCCAAAAAAGTTCAATCTGGTCCTCTGGACATTCAAAAAAAAAAAAAACAAAGCAAAAAAATCTAGAAACGTTTCGTCTCTCATCCAAGAGACTTCCTCAGTCTGAGGTGCTGTTTTCAGCTCAGTCTCTTAAATAGCACCTTCTCAGAGTGGATCAACCAGTTTGCTGCTGACAACCAAAACCAGCTGATCACATGCTCAAGAAGGACCATCAGCCTAACAATGGATCATTAGCACACTGATGGCTGTTTACTACTCACAGAGGGCTGAGTGATACTAGCAATCACAGCATTGTAAGAGGGGGACAATTGAACCCGGAGGCCTCCACCCCGTTTAATGATGGACAATTTCTTTTCACAAAGATGGCCTCCTTTACTCCTCTCTCAAACCTTTCAACATTTTTGACATTTGAAACATTTTTGAATGTCCAGAGGACCAGATTGAACTTTTTTGGATTTTTCTACCTGGATTATTGAGCATGCATCAGGATATATATATGAATGTTTCTGTTCAGTGAAATGACTTCTGTTCAGACTTGGCGCTAAATAAATCAACTGAATTGAATATAATTGTTACCATACCATACCATTTTATTTATAGAGCACTTAAAACAAGGCCAACCAAAGTGCTGTACAGACAGAACAACAGGTAACACACAAAGCAATATACAAAATGAAGTAAATCAGAATATAGACAAAAACAATGCAGATAATGACAACAAACCAGTGTGGAGCATACAGGTTCAAAACACAGATCATCTGGTATTGAATGCTACTGAATAGTAGTGGGTTTTTAAAACTTGAAAACCGAGAGGGAGGGGGCCTGTCTGACAAGCAGAGGTAACTTGTTACAAAGTCTTGGTCCTGCTACAGAGAAGGCCTTGTCACCTCTGCGCTTAAGACGAGTTCCTGGAACTGTGAGGAGCAACTGGTCCGCTGACCTCAGTGGGCGTGGTGGGACATACGGCTGTAGCAGATCAGAGAGATGGGGGGGGGGGGGGACACTGTTCAGTGATTTGTAGACATACAGTAGTATTTTGAACTGGATTCGAAGGTGAACCGGTAACCAGTGCAGTGAGGCCAAAACTGGTGTAATGTGCTCTCATTTGCCTGTACTGGTTAAAAATCGGGCTGCTGCATTCTGGACCAGTTGTAGAAGTGCATTGGAGGTCTGACTGATACCAAACAGGAGTGAATTGCAGTAATCAAGCCTAGATGTAATGAATGCATGTATTACTGTCTCCAGGTTAGTTTTGGACAATATGGGCTTCAGTTTAGACAGCCGCCTCAGTTGGAAGAAACATGATTTAACAATCATGTTTACATGATTGTTAAGTTTCAGGGAAGGGTCTATTATCACTCCCAGATAAGTGACTCTTTGTTTTTCTGACAGGGTTAGACCGGAAAGGTCGATGCAGTGGTTTGTGATCGTGTCGTTGGGAGGGAACAACATGACTTCAGACTTCTTTTCATTGAAACTTAAGAAGTTTAAAGCCATCCAGTCCCTGATGTCAGCTAGGCAGTCGAGCAGAGGCTGAATAAAGCATGTACCATTGTGTCTTAGGGGGAAGTAAATTTGACAGTCATCAGCGTAGAAATGAAAGGGTATGTTGTGTTTCTGGAAAATAGCACCAAGTGGCAGCAGGTATAAAGAGAATAGGAGGGGACCCAGGATGGACCCCTGCGGAACCCCCCATTTAAGCTCTGCCTCTGCAGCACTAAAATCCTTGATGGAGACAAAAGGATCTGTCAGTGAGGTAAGATCTGAACCAATTGAGGGCTGATCCTGTGACGCCCACCCACTGCTCCAACCTAGCAATGAGGATCTCATGGTCGATGGTGTCAAAGGCAGCAGTGAGGTCCAATAGGACAAGCAGCACAGAATCACCAGTATCTGTGGATCTGAAGATGTCATTAAAAACCTTCAGTAGGGCAGTTTCAGTGCTGTGGAGAGGTTTAAAGCCAGATTGGAATAGCTCTAAGATGGCGCAATCCTCTAGGAAGCACTTCAACTGGGACTCGACTATTTTCTCCAGTATTTTAGAAACAAATGGGAGTTTGGAGACAGGCCGGTAGTTGGAAACGACTGAGGGGTCAAGGTTTGTTGTTTTTAGGAGAGGCTGGACAGCAGCATGTTTAAATGATTTTAGCACTACGCCAGTGGATAAAATACTGTTTACTATATCAAGAATGGACAGACCTAGAGTAGGAAAAACCTCCTTTAGTAGTCTAGAGGGGACCACATGAAAGGGGGAACCAGAAGGTTTCAAGCTGCACATGACCTGGTCTAGAGAAGATAGAGTGATGGGTTCAATTGTTAAGCAACGGCTGTGAATTCTACGTAAATGTAATTTCTTTGTTTTCTATTTTTAATAAATTAGCAAAAAAAGCAGGGAGTGGTGGTGCAGAGGTTAGAGAAGGTGGGCCTGTGATCAGAAGATTGCAGTCTCAACTCCCGGTGCCAACAACATCAAAAATGTGGGTGGGAAAGGTGAAGCAGCCACATCAGCCTCCACCCTGATTTGTCCCACTCTGGGCCCTTGAGTAAGATCCTTA